GCGGCCTCCCGCCTCTTTCCCCACCCCTTTCCAACAATTCGGAGCGAGCGGGCAAGCGGGCGGTGGCGGGAGAAGGGAGGGGAGCGGGTCCCCTTTGCCTCAGCCATGGGATGCGGTCTCTGATCCGCCCTCGCCGGGAGCCGGATAAAAAACAGCCCCCGGGAGGCACCGCCTCTTTCTCCACCCCTTTCCAACAATCCGGAGCGAGCGGGCAAGCGGGAGGGGGGGTCGCTGGCTGGAGAAGGGAGGGGAGCGGGTCCCCTTTGCCTCAGCCATGGGATGCGGTCTCTGATCCGCCCTCGCCGGATAAAAAACAGCCCCCGGGAGGCAGGAGGAGGAGGAGAAGTCTCCCGCCTCGACGCCGAGCGGTGATGTTGCTCTCGGCGGCGGCCGTCGCTTCCCCGCGGGGGATCTGCTCGCCTCTCAGGTGGGTGAGCTGTCCCTCTCCCTCGCCTCGGTGCGCGCCTCTCCCTTCAACCATGAGCGCTGCCTCGCTTACATCCCCCCCTTTCCATCGCTGGCTCATCCTCTCTCTCCTCTCTCGCACACCCTGGAATCGCGCTCCGGGTGGTGCAATTCCCTCGAAGCGGACAGGTTCTCTTAGGAACCCGCTCCACGGAACTCTTCCAAGTGAGCAGGGAGGAGAGCTCTCGCGCGTTTCTCCCGGGCAACTGCTCCAAACGGGTTCGGCGCGCTCTCGGTGCGCTGAGAAAAGCAACCCACCCGCTTCTTATTCATGCTCTCCGCTGAGTTTTCCTCCCTTCGGGAGAATTCTAGTCCGCCTCCCGAGAATCGGGTCCCCAAGATCTCTGTCAGTCCTATCCGCCAGTTTAAAACCGGGCTCCCCAGATGGGCAGCCGTGGCATCCCTCCCTCCCTGGGCTTTTCTTCAAGAGGTGTACCTGGAGTTCTTCAGGGTGGGAGTGAGCCTGGTGGACCTCGCTGCGTCTTACTTTTGAGTAAACCTGGGGCAAGTTTTCTGGAAAGTTTAGGATGGAGACGCTCCGATGCCTTGGACTTACTCCCAAGTAAGCAAGCGCAGGCGGGCAGCCAGACCTAATGAAACGGGTGGCACTTGTTTGACAGCCAGGTCTCCGGTGGTGCCGGTGTAGTGGGGATCGCAAGACTCTCCCCATTTCTGGCGACCTTAGTCTGGCGCCATCCCGTTGCGAGGCCTCTCCCGGGCCCCCCTCCCGTCCCCAGGTGTGAGGTTCTCCCAAGCGAACCTCTCTCGACCAGGGACGCATCCTGGCCGGCGCTCCCTTCCCTTTCCCCCCTTGGCGGCTTTGCTCGCCTTTCGCCACGCCCCCAATTCCTGATCCGGTTTCCCCCGCTGCTGCTTCGGTTTGGGAACCGAGGCGCGTCAGCTCCTGCCAAGCGGGCTGGATTCCTACCGAGTTGGGACAGAAGAGAGAGAATCCACGATGGAGGGCGATCCCCAAAGCAGATCCCTTTATTCCGCACCCTAAAAGGGCCGGGGGGGGGATCGATATCTGCCTTTGCCGCCCTCTGCCATGGAGCCTCGGAGCCGAGCCTCGGGGTGCCGCCGGGTAGGAAGCGACCCTCTTTGCCTCTCCCCGGGGCGCCCGGGGATCCGTACTCGCGTGGGATCCCCCTAGAGGCCACCCGCTGACCGGAAGGTAAGTGTAAAGATTGGGGGGGGAGAGAGAATCAAACGCCAGAATGGGGATTTTTTTCGCGCGATGGCTTGGCTTCCGATATGGTTTGGCGGCTCCGTTTTCTCTGGGGGGGGGGGAGAGAGAATCAAACGCTAGAATGGGAATTTTTTTCGCGCGATGGCTTGGATTTGGAGGAGGTTTGCGAGCCTGGCGGCGGCTCCGTTTTCTCCGCTGCTACTGCTGTGTTTACACGGCGATTGGAAATCGGAGGCATGGGAGAAGTTCAAAGGAAGTTCCCGGACGAAGAGGCAGAATCGTGGGCTTGGGCGCTGTGGTGGGTTGCCGGGCGGGCGGAGGAGATGGAGAGAAAGGCCGGGGCGTGGAGGGGAGAGGGAGGGAGAGCTGGAGGGAGAGGCAGAAAGGGGATCGCTGTGCTACTGCTGTGTTTACACGGCGATTGGAAATCGGAGGCATGGGAGAAGTTCAAAGGAAGTTCCCGGACGAAGAGGCAGAATCGTGGGCTTGGGCGCTGTGGTGGGTTGCCGGGCGGGCGGAGGAGATGGAGAGAAAGGCCGGGGCGTGGAGGGGAGAGGGAGGGAGAGCTGGAGGGAGAGGCAGAAAGGGGATCGCTGTGGGGCTGTGAAAGGCCGGGGCGTGGAGGGGAGAGGGGGGGGAGAGCTGGAGGGAAAGGCAGAAAGGGGATCGCTCTGGGGCTGTGTCTAGCTGAAGGCTGGGCAGGTCTCGAGCTGATCGTGAGGGTGGTTAGGGCTCTTTCTAGCCGATCGATCGGTTAAGCACAGCTAGCACTAAATGTGCATAAAGTTGTGGCTGATTCATAGTGGACGACAATATAATTTTAATGCTTTGAAAGGCAAATACGAAAGACAAGGATGCATATATGTGCATAGTGCAGCTGAGGGAAGGAGACGATTCAAGAGGTGACACCTGCAAAAGGTACAGTTGTCTGTTCCCTTCCCCCTTATATCTGAGCAAGTGCCACTGAAAGGTGTGTATGTGTGTGTGTGTGCTTTCTCTGAGAATATAGGGCTAGAACATCCTTCTTCTGAAAGAACTGGATAATTCCCAACCTTCCTGTTTTTCCTTATACCACCACAAGTGTGAAAGGACCAGTGACAACTCAGGGAAGGGGACTGGTTTTAAGGCCCTTTTCAAGGGCCATTCACAGATATCTTTTGTGTAAGCTGGAAGTGGAATATTCCAGCAGAAAGTCCTGTCAAGGGACATCCACACTGGCAGAATAGCTCACTATTTGGGCCACTTTTTGTTCTGTTTGGTTTATGGCATTCATGTTTTGACTTATGGCAATCCATCCCACCCACCCCCCTTTTTTTAGAGCTGTCCCGCTCCTGTCTGGCATAGCAGTAGGGCTATTGTGTTTTTGGTGTGATTCACAGCACTCCTGATTAGCTCATTCTGTAGCCCATGTGGATGATGTGAGCAGTGCTATCTGAAGTGACAGCCCTGTGACGTATTTGGTGGGTTGTGGCATTGAAAGTTACAATGGAGAACTCCCCCTTCCTCTATTTTCATCTTCTGTATCATTTTATTTTTTAAATATATGTTTTCACCTTGATACTGTGCTATTCTAGATAAATAAAATAGATTGGCAATATTATGCTACCATGCTAGGCAGATGGATTGCTGTTTTGCTATGTTGCTTATTTTGTTTAACAACAACAAAAGGAAAGTAGTTGTTGCTATGTTGCTTATTTTGTTTAACAACAATAACAAAAGGAAAGTAGTTGTTCCCCCCCCCCTCATATGATGGGCATAGGAAAGGGGGTGGGGAATGTCATTAATTGAGAGGTGAACAAATTGGGGCAATGACCTTTCTGGACCCTTCTTGCAGGAGAAAAAACATATTTTAAAAACTATAATTTCTTTCCATTTACCTATGAGCTGCACAACACAATTGCATTTTGGAGGGAAACATCTCTTCATTTGAACTATGGACTGTTTGTATCTACTGATAAACAAACCAGTCTTCACTTCTCCATGAAAATATGTGAAAAAATCATCAAATGGAGGGCACACATGGTTTCTTCAGGTGCAGGCAGGTGTTAGACTTGTGAAAAGTACTTTGTTTTTTATTCTAGAGCCCCAAGATCCACAGACTCCAAGAGTCTGGTGAAAAAGACAAATACTAAGAAATGAAGAATCGTGAGCCTAGGAATCTGTTTTGAAAACCAGAAATGAACTGACCTCATAGTCCTTCTACCCAAGCAATCCCTGCCTGGTTGTACCTTTCCCTCAGTTTTCTCCATTTCAGCAGTGTTATTCCAGGAGCACTTTGTTATTAGTGCTGTCAGTGTTAAATCATTAGTAAGAAATCTTGCTGATCTACTTCATCTAGAGATTTACCAGTAGATCCTGATCTACCTTCAATGTAAGTGTAAAACTGGGTTTTATTTTCCAAGCTACTGGGATTTTTCCTCTCACCCATTGAATGCACCATCCTCGGGGATGTAAAAAAGGAGGCAGCTGCTGTTGAGGAGAAGCAACTGTCAAAAATGAGGAGAAAGTAAGGGTTGTGAAAAAGTGTTCAAAGTAAACAAGATGTGAAAAGTCATGGTAGGCTTCCCCGGCACCATAAACTTGTGAATCTTCCCCTTCTTTGATTAGCAGCCATTTCTGGGCTGACAGATTGGACTGAGCAAGTGCTTGAGGCAAAGCACTAAATGATGACTTCTCTCGAATTAGGATGCATAGTACCCCAAACCAGCTAGAGTTATTTGCCTGCATGGGGCAGAAGATTCCATCCCTAGCAGTAAAAGTACAGTAATACAAAGCAAATAATTAACAAGTGGCTCTTAATTTTCCACCTGAGGGGGCTACCTCTACTTGGTGATGGCCAGAGACTGAGATGCTGGTGTGAAGTGAAAAGATTCCATGCTTTCCTTCTGTGTGCAACCAGCCTCATCAGCTCCTTCCCACCCACACCCACCCCAAGTAAGAAAAAAGTTCCAAAATAGAGGTTGTACGTTACTAGTTCGACCCTTTGCTGATTGGCGAAATGAGGCATATACTGTATAGGAGTACAAAGATAGGTGGCGTGCTCAGAGAACCACAGGGCCACATATGTAGAGTTATCCCATGTTCATTCTTTCATAAATCAGGGCCATCAAGACTGCAATCCTGAATGCACTTAATTTTGGACACAGTGGGACTACTTATCGATATGCCTGGACAGGATTTGAAGTTCATTAAACTTTGCAACTAAGCAGACATTTGAAATATGTCTTACCAGTCCTGCTCCACCATGGTGTCTAAATCATGCCACACTGTCATCCTCAAGCCAACATTCCTAACAGGGATGTTGTTTCTATGTCTCAGGATTCCTTTCTCTTCCTTTCTGGAGTGTTTCCTGGAACAGACCTCACACAACCTTGCAGATAGCAGTGCATTCATCCTGAGACAGCTAATTTGTTAGTTCAGTGATGGATAATAAGTGTGGTGTTGTGTTTTGGGTTTTTTATGGTTTTACCTAATACCTAATTCCAAAAGAGGCTTAATTTTGAAAATGCTTTAATTCCAATGCTCAAGCAACAAGATCATTCTTCTCTCTCTGCCACCCCACCCCCCGCCAGATCTGTGATCAAAGCTGCAGGCAATTTTCATGTTTACTTATAAGCAGGTGAGATGGATCTAGCCTATCAGCAACTCAGGTGGCTCCATGGTTTGAGCGATCTAGTAGCACATATAGAGAGCAAATATCTAGTTTTTTCTTCCATGCTGCTTTAACACCAGTACCCCTCCAGTTGCTGTTAATCTTGTAGCAGAAAGCATATTCTTTTTCGCATCTAGAAATGATTAGGTGAGAGGAGGAGGAGAAGCACCAGATCTCCTCTCCCTTGGTGCCACCACTCTGATGAAATTCAGTGCCTTCCACAGCTGCTCAGAGATTTTAAAAAAAAGAGAGAGAGAGAAAGTGTCAGGAGATCTGATTACAGAGCTCCCGCATCAGGCCTGTTTTCTTCTTAAGAATAAGCTTGGCAACATCTGCCACAGTCTGAGATTCTTTTTTCTCACTTTGTCTGGGTAGAAAATACAGATTTAGATGCAGGCAGCAGAGTTTTGGAAGTCTTTGTACCCCACGGCAGCTCTTCCAGAGCTACACAGCATAGTAGAAGACCCTGCTAAATGGGGTGGACTCTAGTGTAAGAAGGGCAGGGGAACACATAACTGATGGGAGAGGTACTGCCTCTTAGTATGACAATGCCCCAGCCTTATTTGTGGGGGGCATACCTGTCTGTGCTTCACCCCATGCAGAATGGTTTCAGTATAGCATTTTAGGGGGTCTGGAGGGGCCGCTCTGGAGAGAAGTTGACAGGGAGTTTTGCTTCTACCAATGTGTTTGCAGGTCTCTAAATCTGGATGCAGCCTGCTGAAATGTGAGGGCATTTGTTTTCTAGCTCTCAGATGAATCTGGGAAATTTTTTAGTATCACATGAAATGAAATTCATATGAAGAAGAAGGGTCATGGAGATCAAAACAGCTAAAACAGAAGGAAAAGAGACAGTGTCAGGGAGAATAGTTCTGGGAAAATCTGGTGCTGGGGGGAAGGATGGTTGGCATGTTTGTTTGGCATGTAAAAATGTCTGCTTTTTTTGTTACTTCATATACAGTTGTATTATGAGTCAGTGTTTGCTGTTCCTAATCACTGGTGTCTTGGAGAGCTCATTAGTGGAGACTTGTTTCCATGACAATGTGACCCTAAGATTGTTACGGTTATCATTCTACATAGGCTTGATATTTATAGTTATACAGATGGATGGGCTGCCATTATTAACCTCCTTTAAAAGCATCCCCTCCCAGCCTGACATTGACCTTCAAGGTATGTGGATCTTCTGTCATGTTTATTTTTCTTAATTTTCATGGGTAAAATAAAGATGTCTTGAGTTGTTAGTGGTTTTGCAGAGTTGACGGGGAAAATTTAAACTTCATGATTCTAATTTTGTCCTGTAAGTCAGTGGAATGTGATAAGTACCTTGGCGTTGCAT